AAAAAAATGATTTTTCGTGTTAATTGCCTGATCCAAAGTATTCACACAACAATGAATCTTGTAAGGTGGGTTGCAGGGATTAAAGCATTTATGCAAACGCCACAACAGGATTTCAGTCTTCTGTGGTTTCTGTTTCGTTCTTGCGATGAAGGGCCTTAAACTTCTTCTTTATCTCGTCTCTGTGAGCTTCTGCGGCTTTCTAGAATGATCGTATTTCAATCTAACAATGAGTCCAAGTTTCCCAAAATTCGGGATTTCGAAACTTCGTTTTACCTTCTCGTCCTCTGGCAAACCGTCCATCCATTCCTTCATCTTCTCTCTAAATTCTTTCCTGCTCTCGGGGTGGGGCTAAAAAAAAGAATTTCATCCGATTACATATGATTGCTGGATATGAAAGATGTTTGTATTTGAGCCTTAAAAGCTTCGTACTCCAATTGTAAATATAACTAACCGTCATTAGTTGGCGAAGCTTGTCCATGTTTGCTGCGCTTACTCCAGGGATATCCTTGAATTCACGCTCTAAAGGAAAAGCATATGAGTTCTCTCTACTTTACTCATGAAAATATTCCTTCTACTTGGCAATAAATTTTGAATTCTCACCCTTTTTTGAGCAAATCACGACTGCAATGGTCAATAGCACGAACAACTTGAGCATTTCGAAAACTCCTAAATCACCATAATTTTGGGGTTTGATTTCTTCTATGCTATTTCGTTTTGGATATTCGAATTCTCCGCTACAGAAAGCGATTATCTCACTGTACAAATAACGAAATAAAACCATGAAATTTTCAGCTTTTTTTATAAGAGGTAGCTAAAGCCTTTACATAATAGGGAGATTTGATTGAGATGATGAAATGCAGCTATCACAAAGTAGGAGAAATTATATACATAAAATTCGAATTGAGAAAAATAATAATAACAGCAGATAGATTGAATCCATTATTCGTTATAACTAACTATTTAATTTTCAAAAGAAGTTAGGTAAAAGTGGAAATCCTCGTATTCAGTTCATAAAAAATAATCTTCGCGGCGCAAAGCTATGAGGTGTATTACGGCCCAAATTAGCTGCTCTTGCGCTATTTTTTAATTATAATTTTTTTAAAGCGTAAAAGACTACTTCTCAGTGAAAAACTATGTTTATTGTTATTTGTCATTATCTGTCGCTATGAAATAGAATGCATGTTCTCGATTTCATTACAACGCTATGCATCGATGAATTGAGTAAGGCTGGTCAAGGTTGGTCCTGCAACAATTCATCGTTTTTCTTGAAGAAACGAGATATTGCCGACAACGGTAAGAGAAAATGAAGCAGCAACCGATCAGAGTGGCAACTGCGTATGTTTGACAAACATCTCTCGCATCAAATTTCTTTTATAGGATTTCCCAAGGTCAATCTGTTCTTCACAATTAACATCATCATTTGTGATCGTTGTTCATGCCGCTTTAGATAAGATGGCATTATAGTTCTCGTTACAAGAAAACCTTTTAGATAGCTAATGTGACTTACATTTAGCAGAATGTTTCGTGAATCAGTTATTGACAGATTGATCGCAAGTTAGATGTACGATTTGAAGGCCAAGAATCAAGAAATTTGGCAAATGGGTATCCTGTTATCAGAATCTTGTACTATGAACTTGCGATGAGATATAACTTCAAAAATGTTGATTCTCCTATGATTCCATATACAACTAGATGGCGGAAAGATTATTTT